CTTCTTCTTCCTCCCCAGCAGCGCAGCTCCAACCCAGCGCTGCTCCCTCCAGTGCTCCACCAGTGTGTCGCCAAACTTGCACACCGAAAAAGAGGTCGGGTCTTCCGCCCGGCCAGAAGATATAGCGGCCTGCTTGCCTCTTGGGCGGTGACTTCCAGGCCGCTGGCCTTCCCAAGCAACCGGTACCTCCTCCTATTTTGGAGGGAACATCATTGCAGACTCTGATATTGCCCCTACAGGCCCTAGACTCAGACTGGTACCCGCTAGACCTAGCCTACACTACCGGACTCTAAAAATGCCACTTTTGTCTTCTTCTGCTCGGCCTCCGATACCTGCATATTTACCCCCCTACTGGGTGCGGTACCGGCCTACCCGCTACTTGAGTGCTTTTTCCCCTGCCGCAACCCTTCATAGCCACGGCCACAGGTAAGTACCGGCCCTGAGGCCCAACAAACGAACAAGTGCCCTGGCGGGCCACACACACGCACACTCGTACCAACCAGCACTTAGACAGGCACGGTCACACACGCAAGCCAACCAGCACTCAGACAGACATGCAGTCCAGCAAGCACACACACACATAGACTCAGCAGACGGGGAACTCAGTAGGGCATTCAGTCAATGAGCAAAACTCATAAATCAGCTGTGTGTTTCAGTCCGTGTTTGGACGGGTTATCACAAATGACAAAGTTAAGTCAAGAGGGCACTTGACTTTCTGATAGCCAGAACTCTAATCAAGTCAGAAGTCAAAATCATCAAGGAGAAGTTGCAAGTAGAAGGGGCCGAGGACACGGATGTAGAAGTGTGGGAATATCCCGAAGAAGATTTGGAGGAGGTCAATGCGCTTTATGAGGAACATGCCGTCCTCTTTAATTTTTCATACAAAAGTAAGGAGTTGTCTCTCAATGACAAAAGAGCCTGGGTGCTAGACCACCTCAGGGCTTTGCAAACTCTCCCTGGGACTGAACTTCTCATCTCTCTTCACAAAAGAGAAAGGAATATTGTCATGGTGCTCTGCGTCGAAGAAAGTTACGCAAAATATCTCAAGTCATTGGATTCTCTTAATTGTAAAGGCTCAATGGTGACGATTAGGGCATGGAAACCACCCAGAGCCCCTCAAGGAGAGGCGACCAGGCACATACAAAATATGTTGTGCAATCATTTTTGGGCCCAGTTTGAT